TAGGGAAAGGATCAGAGCACAACTTTCCTTTCCTTTTCAAAACACATCTTTGAAGTTCTTAAGAAAATAGAATCTTGAGCATAACTACCTGTTCTTGGGTTGGGGGTAAGAAATTTGTCCTCCCTCTCCTTATGAAAATCTCAGAAAGGGGGTGTCTATTCCATTCCACTGCTTCCAATAAATATGGGGTGGACTACATGTTAACTGGTCAATAGGCCATCTGGATTGCTGAACATAGAAAATCAGCAATAAATGAGTCCTTCCAAACTAGTAAAGGGAAAGTGGGAATTATAAGGATGAGGAAGCTAAGTTCTGAGTGTACTTGTCTATGTACACTCAAAGTACACTCAGAAGTTAGCTTCTCATCCATAATATCCCCCCAAAAATGTATACCTTTGGCTATAGCAGTTGGATTTCCCTGGGGGTTGTTCTTTCCTGCTGTAAACTTTTTGTTCCACAGAGAAGAAACATTTCTCTATTTTTATAGATTCTAATTCTCTAGAACCTGCTAGCAGAACCACAATATAGAGCTTTTGTTCTTAGCCTCATATTGCAGCTACGTCCTCTAAGAAGACATGTTGATTCTTTCTCTAAGACCTGAGAAAAATATATACCCATGCTTGTATGGTTTTATTATGATGGTGTGTGCTGGAGGTATATATAGAAAAAGTTAAACTCAAAAATTGCATTCAAAATAGGTTTCAATAAATAATTTTTTTTTTTCTGGTTGGGGGAAGAGTCAGGAATGAAAACATGCCAAATGACTGACAGTGTTCAGCTAGAGTAGTAGGATGATGCAGATTTTCTTCTTTTTGTTACTTTTCAAATGTATGCTATTTTATAATAGAAGTTTCCTTAAGAAACATGCTTTCACCTCAAATCTTTCTTCAGTTTATCTTCAAGTAATTTGCAACTTTAGATCCTACTTGCAACTTATAGAAGTGTTTCAATCTCCTAGTTCCTTACTTAAGGCCTTTGATCTAGTCTTAGAATTGTTTGTGTACAGCTGCAAAGATAAGTCTTTGGGAGGGTCTGACTTCTTTTCAAAGGAGGAATGAAGCAAAGCCCAAGGAATGTCTTCTACTCTTGGCTCAGATGCAGAGAATCTAACTGTTTTCCTGGGTTGGAACACTTTAACATTACCAAACCAAGTCAAGAAGGGCAAGAGGAGATTGCAAGGTAGTTGGGTGGTGGGAGGGAGGGATATATTATAACAGGGTATGAGGAATATTGGTGTGGGGGGTGGTAGACATGTTTATTATCTTAATTATGGTGATGGTTTCATGAGTATATATATATGTCAAAAAATCAACTTTTATACTTCAAATATATGCAGTTTCTCATATGTCAGCTATGCCTTAAGAAAGCTGCAAACAAGTACAACAGAGTGGTTGCAACTGTAATAACAATACAGAAGGGAGGAACTCACTAGAGGAGTTAGTCTATGGAGATAGTCACCTTAGATAACTTAGATTCAGCCCGCAGGTGGGGATCACTTTCTTGTATACTCACGTCTGAGTGTGCTATTGAGGAGGGACACCAATAATTGATAGTCAGTGAGTCTCTCATAAAAAGAGGATGGGTTTGGAGGGTAGGGAGAGGTCAAGATATGTGGACATTGAATCTTGAAGTATGAGTGTCAACTCAAGGCAAATAAGTCCCATATTGTGTTCTTTCAGGACCAATACTGTGAGTTGGTGGTAAAAGTAGCTATTCACATCATATAGAAAAAGAAGCACTGGTCAGAGGTGGGATCAAGATGGCAGAGTAGAAAGACCCTGAGCTCACCTCCCCCCACAAACACATTAAAACTACAACTACATAAACAGCAACTCTCACGGAGAATGACCTGAAGATTAGAAGAGTGACTCTTCTACAACCAAGGCTGTAATGAAAGATCCACACAGAGTCTAGTAGAAAGGGAGGAGAAGTGAGTTAGTCAGGACCTACATCACTAGTGGGTGACCCAGAAGGCTCAGGATCCTCCCTGGGGAGCAAGGGGTTTAAGCCACATATTAGGCATCCCAGCCCTAGGGTCTGACACTGGGAAATCAAGCTCCATTATCTGGTTTGAAAACCAGTGGGGCATAACGGAAAGATGTAAGAAACCAGGACTCCAATCTTGAAGAACACACACAGATTTGCTGGCTCCCAGTCCCAGCATGGATATCATAGATTGAAAAGCTGCCTGGTGCTCTTGCCAGCCTGCCAGCACTGCTTCAGCATGACTCACAGCCTGCACCAGGCTACCATTCCAGACCCTCCTGCTTTAGCACTCCTTCCTGTTAAGATGGAGGCCACTACTGCCAATGCACATGCACTCACTGGGGAAGGAGCAGAGCCAGCTTGTCACAGCCTTGCCCCTAGCTAGGGTGGAGAATGCCAATGCCAGTGTGCACATACACCAGGGAAGGAGCAGAGCCTGCTCAGTAGTGTGGCTCCAACCCTTCTGGCCCCAACACTGCCTCTAACAAAGACACACACACCAGGGAAAAAGTGAAACCTAAGCCTTCAGGCCCCAGCCACAACTCCAATATGGCAGTGACCACCATTGATCCTAGGATAATCCCCAATTCACACTTGGCTCTGTCTCTGGCCCCTCTGATTCCAGCCCTATCTCCCACTAAGGCCAGTGTACCCAGGGAGAAGATGTAGCCCATGCTCACCTCAAGTCGAACTCTCCCAATAAGCCACTAGGCACTTGTAGAATGCACAGGGATGCCTCCACACAAAGATATGCCTTTAAGACCAGAATAGGTAACTATTTCACCTAATTTCATAGCGAAAAACAGAGAAACTTAAACAAAATGAGAAAACAGAAAAATAGGTTTCAAATGAAAGAACAAGTTAAAGCTCAGGAAAAAACCCTAATGTAACAGAGGAAAATAATTTACCTGAAAAATACTTCAAAGCAATAGCCATAAAAATGCTAAGTGAACTCAGGCAAATAATAGATGAACACAAAGAGAACTTTAACAAAGAACTAGAAAATACAAAAAAGAAGCAGTGAAACTAGAAGAATACAATAACTGAAAAGAAAGATACACTAGAAGGAACTTCCCAGACTTCTTTGCAGCAAGGCTTGACCATACAAAAGAGTTCAATTTCTGACTAATGAGAGGCCTCCTCCAACATCACACTGGCAAGGGAAGATGCTGCTAGGTTCCCAGGTCAGTCTCCTTTGATACCCCTAGGAGGAGGAAAAGGCACTTCATTATAGCTGGGTATTTTTTATATCCTCTTTGACTTCTTCAGTGATCCATTGGTTGCCATGTGGATGAAAGGCTTTTGGTGCTGCAGCCAGGAATCAGTGCTGAGCCTCTAAGGGGGGAGAGCCAACTTCAGAACACTGGTCCACAAGAGACCTCCCAGCTCCACATAGTATCAAATGGCAAAAAAGTCCCAGAGATCTCCATCTCAACACCAGCACCAAGCTTCACTCAACAGCCAGCAAGCTACAGTGCTGGACATCCTATGCAAAACAACTAGCAAGACAGGAACACAACCACACCCATTAGCAGAGAGGCTGCATAAAGTCATAATAAATGCACAAACACCCCAAAACACACCAACAGACATGGAACTGCCTATCAGAAGGACAAGATCCAGCCTCATCCACGAGAACACAGGCACTAGTCCCCTCAACTAGGAAGCCTACACAACCCACTGAAACAACCTTAGCCACTGGGGACAGACACGAAAAACAACGGGAACTACGAACATGCAGCTGGCAAAAAGGAGACCACAAACACACTAAGATAAGCAAAATATGAAGACATAAAAACACAAAGCAGATGAAGGAGCAAGATAAAAACCCACCAGACCTAACAAATGAAGAGGAAATAGGCAGTCTACCTGAAAAAGAATTCA